CGCTTGTGTCGTCGTTCCGAGCTACCCCCGCCCCGCCCCGCCCCGCCCCGCCCCGCGAGCCCTCCGCTCGTTTGGAACCCCCTCCCTTCACCTTATTATTTGGGCTTGTGTACGTTTGTCAGGGCGGGCCACGGCCGGGCAGGGCGGGCCGCGAGGAAAGGAAAAAAATAAATATATACCTCTCTTTTCGTGTGCCGGGCGTGGCGATTGGCGCGGGGGCGTTATTTTTAGACCCGTGCGGTGAAGGGGCGAGCGGACAGACAGTCAGACAGACAGACAGACACAGCACGCCATGCGGCGATTGCCATAAGCAGCGGCGACCGTGTCCTTACTCTTATTTATTTACCGGCGCTGATAGGGCGGCCGCTCTAATTCGGTGACTCCATTTGCTCCGTCTCTCTCGCTCTCGCGTGCCGCGCCGCTGGGGTGCGAGAGAGACGGAGCACACCGTTCGGGAGAGAGACTGTGGCCGATGCGGACGCAGGGGGCCGCAACAATGCAGTGGACTGCCGCGCCGCCGCCGCTCGTGTGCTGATTTCGTTATCTCGTGCGGTCCAGTTGCAGTGCAGGCCCGCGCCGTGTTGCAGCCACGTGTCGCACACGCGTCGGGGGAGGGAAAGGGTGCTGCCCTAACGGTGCCCTTTCACCCCGCCCCCTGGCCGCGGTGCCGCGGTCGCGGGTTCAAACACCGCCGCTTCCCCGTCTCTTTTTATTTTTTTCGCCGCCCCCACCTGCGTCGCGTGTGTACAACAGTGTGCCTGCGGCCGAAAGCTGCGGCCGAAAGCTGTATAGGCCAGTGGCCGCCCTGGCTGATGCACTGAAAGCCCCGAAAGCTTAGAGGCACCGCTGTTTGCGCTGCCGTGGCCGTGCCAGCAGTGTGCCAGCGCCGGGCTTTGTAACGCCTGTCTCTCTGTGTCTATTTGCCGCGCTGTCTTGGCCGGGCCGGGCCGGGCTCCTGTCGACGGGGAGGTGACTGATTGTCGGGCAGCCCCCCTTCCCCCGCCCACGCCCCCGCTCTGCTTGCTCTTTCGCTCCTCCTGTCCTTTTGTCGCGCCCGTCTCTAAAATTCGGCGGCCCGCGGACGAAAAGACGTAAATGGCGAGTTGTTAGTTTGGGCCGCGGGATGGCGCTGGCGGCGCAGGCGGTGCTCTCTCTCTCTCTCTCTATCTCTCTCTCTCTCTCTCCTCTCTCTCTCTCTCTCTCTCTCTCTCTCTCTCTGCTCCAACCCCTTTTTTTTCGGTGCCTTTTTTCGCCCCGTGATCGGCGGGTTCATTACTTGGCCATTGTGATTAGAAATCGGTGTCATTCAGTCGTCGGGGGCGGCCGCTCGCGGACGTTATTGGTCGTTTCGTCCGCGAATTTCGCCGTCAGCGGACGGACAGACAGACAGACAGACAGATAGACAGACAGACGGACAGACAGACGGACGAAACGACGGGCGGCGGCGGTGGAGGCAGAGGGATGGCCGCCGAGGGTGCAATCGGCGGCGCCATCTAATTGTGTCGCCAATTGTATCCCTCCGGCCGCGTCACGGCCCGCCACGCCCGTCCCGCTTCCTGCGACACACACACACACACACACACACACAGAGTGGAAAGGGGCGCTGCGGCGGCAACGGCCGCGGAAGACGTAATAGTGTATTTGTGCGGCGATACATCGGGATTCTAGACATGGCGCTCGCCGCGGTGGGGAACGGGAAAAAAAAGGGACGAGAAGATAATGACGCTGGAAAGGACAAAAACAACAATAACAAAAAGGGGAAAAGTGGGAATGAGTGGTGGAGGGGGTGGAATGGGGTCGGACTCGTTCGCGGTCGGTCAAGCGGCGGCGCCGGACGACGACGACCAAGTCGACCATTTTCAGTTGACTACTTGCGAGCTGGGATGAAATCTCGGATGAAATTGAAGAAGAAAGGGTGGAGCGAGCCAGTGCTTTGCAGTGGGGCGTGTCTACTATTCGTCGTCTCTCTCGCACGGTTCTTCGTGCAAGTTCACCCCGCAGCCGGGCGTGTTATCATTGTTTGTGGAGGTGGCCGCCCCTGCGTTAACCGCCATTTTTGCGTGAAAACTCGGCTCGGCCGGCCGGCCGGCCAGCCCTTCATCACCGCCTGACGGACCCCCTCCCGGATCGCGCTGCGGTAAGGGGCAGAGGGGCCCAGAGAGCCGAGGGGCCCTGCTAAGCGGCAACCCGCCCGGCAAACTACATCACTCTGACGGCATTTGTCATTTCGGAATTTGTGTTTCGGTGCGGGCCCGCGTAGGGGGCGTTGCTAGGAGCAGGGCGTGGTGGCAAGGCGGGGCGGGGCGGGGCGGGGTGGGGCGGGGGGTGCAGGTCCCCTACAACTCGGCCGGGCGACACATTTGTCTTACCGGGTGACGCGGCTTCGGCCTGGCTTGGCCGAGACCGCCCGCCCCGTACTTTGCCGCGGGGCACGGCCACGGCGCGGCGGCCTGCCGGGCGGTCAGGGCGACGCTCACACAGGACATTGCCCGGCCGTAACACCAAATCAAACTGGCAGCAGTGTCTCGGGTTCAAACACTGGCGGCGCCGCCTTTTTCGGTTTCGCTTTTTGTTTCTCGCGGCGGCAGACCCGATCGTTTGATAAACGGCGATGGGTACACGTGTATGCATTAGGGTCTCGTTCGACTGCCGGACGAGGCTGCTGCAGAAATAAAAAGTGAAAAATAAAAAAAAACGGGAATAAAAATAAATAAATTGGATTGGTCACTGCTGCAATTAATTTGCGCACGCGGGGGAAATGTTAATGGAAGTGGCGGCTTGGGTTTATCGAAAGCCTGATGGTCATGTCCATGCATATCATGGTCATTGCAGGTCATTAAAACTGAGTGCATCACTGCGATAGGCTTGCACCTTGCGGCGCGCCGCTACACTTTATTATTCACTTTCCAGTTTCCTTCTTTTTTTTTTCGAGAGTTCTTTGGCACGAGACAAACGGCGGCAATGCGGCAGGCGGACGGCTTGGCCTGCTGGAAGTAGCAAATCGCGAATCCCGTCACTGTCTGCTATTCTTGGCCGTCGCTGCACTGTAAGGCCGGGCCGCCCGCTCCTCTGCATAAGTTTCCCCTCCGGAAGGAAAAGTTGGCCCTGTAAACTTGGCTATTGGTCTTGTAATCACTCCGAGATCTTATTCATCGTGATCTCGGCGCGGCCCGGCCTCGGAGGCCCTGGGGAGGGTCCGGGGGCGCGGAGGGCGCCCCGACCTCGGCCACTCTGATAGCAGCCTCCCGATAGTAGCACCCCGGCCCGCGCCGTCCCATCCGCGCCCGCCCAAAATTAGAAAAAGTGAAATGAGAAAGGGTGTTTCTCGAGATTGTTGACACTGCGCTGTTCACTCGACGGCCGTGTAATCATTTTTGTCTGGGGCGAAGAAAGAGACGGGGCCGTGGCGGGGCGGGGCAGTGGGCCGGAGACCGGAGGAGGCGGTCGGAATCCCGGACGCTGCAGAGTCGCTAAATGGGACTCGAACCGAGCGTGTGACCCCACCAATGGATTTCCCTCCGAACGGAATCCATTGGTGGGGTCACACGCTCGGTTCGAGCCCTGTTTAGCGGACTCTGGAGCTCAAAACGCGTCTGGCGTTTCGGCCCCCGGCGCCGCTCTTCTGGCCCACTGTGCGGGGCCGCGAGGGAAACGATTGCCGCCGTTTGGGTAACAACCACAACTTTGGCGGCCCGTTGTAAATCCCGGCGGTCCGCGACGCGCAGCGCTGAGCGCGCACGGAAGTGTCAACTGCTCATTTGACCCAAGTTGTAAAAATGGGTCGCGCCTCGCAGCGCTTCGCGGCCCCGAAGGGTCGGGGGCGATTTCTGGTGTGCCGAGCGGCGTCGCCGGTCGGGGTGGGGTAGCGACTGGCCGGCGACTGGCGCGTGATATAGCGCCGGCCGGCGCCGCCAGCAGAGCGTCGCTCCGTCTCTCTCCCGCCCCTCCGGGGCACCTCGGGAGTGTGAGAGGGACGGACGTCGCTCGGGGCTCCCACGGGGCGGGGGCGGGCAGCGCAGCTAGCTCCCCGTTGCCCCGTTCTTGCATCGTCAGAACGGCGACGCGTCGGAGGCGGTGGCGCGGCGGCCGCGGTGGCGCAGCGATTGCGGGTGTCCCCGCCGCTTCTTATTTATGGTGGCGTGGGGCTCTGTGTGTGTTTGTGTGTGTGTGTGTGTGTGTGTGTGTGTGTGTGTGTGTGTGTTGTTATACAGTTAGGGCCGCGGGGGGCGTAGGCAGGAAAAAGTGGCCCGTTTTGCGCGCGGTCGGCGCGGCGAGGTGCCGGCGTCAGCATGAGGGGGGCGCTTTGGCTCGGCCCAGCCCAGCCCCGCGTATCGCTCAGGCAAATTCCGCCGCCAATGCCGCGCCGCGCTGACGATCCGGACGGGGGCGGCCCGGTTGCGCCCCTCGTCCTCGGTCCGTCCGTCCGCGGGGCGACGCCGCTCCGGGGAGGTATGCCCCGGCTCGCGGAATTCGCACGGAAACGCGGCGAATTGGCGGCCGCCTCCACCGGTCTTCTGGCCCACTGTGCGGCATGCTGGCGACAAAGGCGGCACGCTCGGCTCTCGGCTTTCGGACGGCCTCGGATAAGCCCGAATAAGCCGGCCGGAATCCGGCGCTGAAAGGTGGAGGCCGCGGCGGGGCGGCCCGGCCCGGCTCAACCAATTTCCTCTTTATATATATTTTTTACGCTGAGTCGGGCGTGTTTGCCGCGGTGCGCATCAGCTGACCACTCGATCTACCGGACGGGGCTGGCTGCCCCTGGCCGGCCGCCCCCGGGTTGGCCCCCACGGGGGACCGGGGCTCGAGGGCCATCGCGCCATAAATTTATTTTATTTCCGTTCGGGCCGTGATAACCGGCCAGCCAGTCGCGTTTATTGGCCTTTCCGAGACCGTTTCCGTCGAGCCCGGCCCGGCGTCCGGACTAGTGTCCTTGTTGTTGGCGAAAAGCGCGCCACTGCTCTTGTTGTTGTTTGCTGAAGGTGTTGTTGTTTTCGTTGCAGGTGCACGGTGCGCGGCGCGTGCCAGAAGGCGGCGCACAGCTCGCCGCGGTGGCTGTCCGTCGGTTCCGGCCAGCAGTGCATCGACTTCGAGCAGGTCCTCCCGGACCGCATCCCCGTCAGCCAGATGACCACGGTGAGTGCGCCGAGGCCGCCCCCGACGGCCCCCACGCCGGCCCCGCGGCCCCCACAGCGAGCGCCCCCCGCCCCGCCACGCCCCCGCCACGCCCCCCGCCACGCCCCCCGCCACGGCCCCCGCCACGCCCCAGTACCAGAGCCGCGCCAGCTTGATGAACCGGTTCCTCAACAGCAGCATCCTCGCGTCGTTCCGCGGTGACCCGCCGCAGTCCCCCGCCGCCCCCGCCAATAAGTGGTGGCTGCCGGCCGCGCCGCGGCAGACGCCTTCGCGCGTCTTCCAGCCCGCGGCCTCCGCCCCCGCGCTGTCCGCGCCCTCGCGGCCCCCGCGCCCCGCGCTCTCCGCGCTGCCCTCGCTGCGGCCGCCGCCCGCCGTGGCCAACGCCCCCGGGCCCAGGTTCGGCGCCACGGGGGCGGGCGACCTGCTGCGGGACGTGCCCGACGGGGACGCGACGCGCCGCGTGCTGGTGCTGACGACGAGCGAGTCGCCGCTCGCCACCATGAGCGCGCCGCCGCCCGCCACCACCACCACGACCACCACGCCGCGGCCCGCCACGCCCCCGCGCCCCTCCCCGCGCCCCACCGAGTTCGTGCCGCCGGCGTGGTTCCGCATGACGGAGAGGTCCATGCTGGCGGGCACGAGCCGCGCGCCCAGGATCTCGTATCCGCGGCGCCTGGCCGTGCCCATCACGACCACCACGTCGACCACCACGACGCCGAGGCCGGCCGTGCGCGCGCCCCAGGGGCCCCAGGCCTCGCGCGCGCACGGCTGCGCCGCGACCCCCGCGCACTCGGTGCTCGTCACCCTCTTCGTGGTCTGGCACAAGCTGCTGTGAGGCTGTGACCCGTGGGGGCTTCGGACTGACTATTGACTGCCTCTAGACTGAACTTTTTACTCGTTATTAGCAGACGCTAGTCTCCGCTAGCTTGATTCTCCTCTTTTATTCTGACTCTTGTTTTTATTCTCGTGTCGCCACGCCGACACGGTGACCAGTGCTGTGCCAATGATGCTCAGAGCATCTCTTTATGTTTCTGGCTCGCATCGAGCCGCTGTACATACTCTCCGCCTTTTAATTTATTCGAGAAAAAGATTGCAAGACTGAATGGGTTCCGTTTGACGGGGGGTCGTCTGTAAAATTGTGGGCCAAATTTTTCTCCAGATATTTTTTTTTCGTTTCCGCCCCCCTCCGGTCCTGTAGGCGCTGCCCCTCGCGGTGTGCATGGTGCTCTGCTTTTACACGGCGTGGTAGAATTGCATGTAGGGAATTTTTTTGACGTTGCACCTTTTTTTTTTTTTTTCGTCTTTAACTCTGGCCATCGCATTCATGACTAAACCTTCCCGCACACTGCATGCACTTCCCGAGGGGTTCCCCATGCTGGGCTGCTGTCGCTGCTGTGGGGGTTCGTGGCGTCCATAGGGCTGTTGGGGTTTCGGCGGCTTTCTGCGCACGCGTCGCGTCTGTTAGATAATTTTTACACTTGTAGCTGTAACTTATATTTTTTGTACAAAAGGAAAGAACGTTAAGAGAAATTAAATGAATTGGCTGTTGTACACACGGCGTCCTGAACGACACCGTGTCTTGATAATGTAAATGTAGTTAGTCCTTTTTTTCGAGTAATACCAGTCTTTATTTAATTTTATTGTACATGCTTGTTGCTCTGTTTAGTTTTTATTGTTTTTTATGTTTCCTGTGATTTTGATGTGTAAAGTACGGGTTAACTTCTGCAACCACCTTGCCTCGCTCATGTAACGCCACGTTGTGTTTGTTCGCGTCCTTCATTTTGTCATGTTCATCGCTTTTCACCGCTACCTACTTTTTTTTTATTCCAACTTTTTTTTCACTCATGCTTGTACACCGTTTCGTTTTTCCTACTGTAGAATAAACGGCCATTGAACGTGCTTGCAGTTTTTTCTTTGTTTTCCACTTTGCATGCCAAAGGGCGCGGCCGCGGGCGGGAAACGACACATTACGTTTTTAGAAATTTTATTGTGGACTGACACGAGCCGCTGCCGCCGGTGTGGGGCAAAAATTATATTGATTTAACTTTTTTTTCTTCATTCTCTTTTTTTTTGCAAGTTGAAAATACGTTGGTAACGAGGAGATGGGAAAAGCGGGGAGGGGGCTACACGAAGAGCTGCATTCACAGTGGAGCGGCGGAATGGGGCGACGGCCACGTGACGCCAAAAAGAAAGACAGAGAAAGACAGACCTTATCAGCGACTCGGAAGCGGGACGGAGAGGGGAGGGGGAGATTGCCAAGTCGCGTCGGAAATAGACAAGATGGAGGGGGACGGGGGACTCACATACGCCCCGGGTAAATTAACAAGTAATTGTGTGAGTGCGTTGATAGCGGCCGGGCTGTTTCGTTTTCATTGCGACGAGTGCGGGGGGCTCGGGGGGCGTGACAGATGCGCCGCGCGGCCGCTGCCAAGTCGCCGCCACCGCGGAGGCCGCGGACGCCGTGGCCTTGGCCGGCCCGACTGCAGCGGGCACTTGTTGTCCTCCAAGTCGGCGCCACACAGTGGGCCAGAAGACCGGTAGTGGCGGACAAAACTCCAGGCGCTAAGCAGGGCACGAACCGAGCTTGTGACCCCACCAATGGATTCCTCGTACGGAGAGCAATCCATTGGTGGGGTCACACGTTCGATTCGAGTCCTGTTCAGCGACTCTGGAGCTCAAAACGCGTCTAGAGTTTTGGCCGCCTCCGCCGGTCTTCTGGCCCACTGTGCGGGCCGGGAAGATGCACTCAGCCTCCAGGGCGGCGTGCGGGACGCCCTGCAGTTTATCGTGAGCCTCGTCGCACCACTTGTAGGGGCGCCAAGGCCGTGTTATGCCTTCGTAATGAAACGGGCATTAATGCAACCCGACCCAACCCCCGAGGCGGGCCGCCCTCGGGGCAGCCTCGCTTTTATGGAGCATTCTCTGCACGATGGCTCGTAAAGGGAGGACTTTACCGCTGCAGCTGCCGGGACATCTGCAGGTGGCCGGCCTGGCTGGCCTGGCTGGCCCCATCCCCATCGGACTGACCGGCCGGCCCAACTTGGGGCGATGAGCGATCCCGGGGTGGCTGTTGTTGTTGTTGTTGTTGCTCTTAAGGTGGCGGCCGACCAGCCGAATGTTGTTGTTGTTGTTGTTGGGGTGGCGGCCGGCCAGCCGAAGGTTGTTGTTGTTGTTGGGGCCGGCGAGCTCCAAGCACGGCGCCCTGCCGCAGAGCGTCTGTCTCCCAAGGAGATGCAAGCAGTGCCGGAGGAACTAAGTTTGAGATTGCAATTCCCCGCACTTTCCTTCGCAACAACGCGTTGTAACTCGGTCTCTTTCTCTCTCGCTGGGCGGTTCGGAGGGAAAATTAAGCCTCGCTGGAAAAGATGCACTGTAAGATGCACGGCCTGGTTAGCCGCGGGGACGCATAGGGTCAGGGACGAGTGTTCAATCTGCTGACCCCCCCCCCCCTCTCTCTCTCTCTCTCGCACTCGTGGGGCGTGCCGGAGGCGTGCGAGAGAGACAGAGCGACGTGCCGGAATCGCCCGGCAGCCGCTGTCTGCTGAATAGTGAATAATTCCCAGAATAATTCCGTACCGGCTCGCTTTGCGTGCTTTGTGGCCAAAGGCTGTGTAAATCGGCGTGGAGGGGACCGAGCGACGGGCAGTCGACCGCCCGACCGAGCGGAGCGGGCAGCGGCGGCAGCGGCGGCAGCCAGCAGTGAATGAGTAAAGCCCCTGTCATGCGGTGGGTAGGCAGGCCGCTGTGCAGCCGAGCCGCCGGGCCGGTCTCTCCTCCAGGGGCCGACGGCCGTATCTCGCGCCGCGGCAGCCGCAGATACGCGCTTTCCAAGCCCGGTCCATCGGAGCCGTTTCACCGCTGTTCGGTTTTCGGTTTCGCGTTGCATAGGCTAACCGCGACAGGTCTTCGCTGTAGTAGTTCGAACCCGACAATGCCTTCATTTACTTTGAAACTACGAAGTAGAACTCTCAGTGCCGGCAGGGTTTCGCTACTCCACTGTCAACCGGGAAAGAGGCTTCCACTTTAATTCATGCGTCTCGTCGTCTCGCCGCGATGAAGCATCTGCACGTGTGCGCGCGACTGTCCACTCCGATCGCGTCTTTGCTTTTTTTTTTTTTTTTTTTTCCCTCCGACCTGTCCGTCTCTTGTCTCGTTTGGGGTTGGCGCGCGACATGTATGTCCGCGAGACCTTGTCGCGGCGACATGCGATCGTCGCATGTTTATTTTATTTTCACCTTTTTTCCTCCTCCTCTCTTTTTTTGCAGCTGCTGGCCAGTCATAGGACGTGCAGTAACGCTCTAGTTTCGATTTGCCGGCGGTTAGGCGCGGACCTGGGAGCGCGGCTGGGGACCTGGGAGCATGACGCTGGTCGGCCGAATCCCTGACGGACAGACAGACAGACAGACAGACAGACAGACAGACAGACAGACAGACGGGTTTGCACGTCTCTTGATCCCCGCGAGTCCGACAAACCAGTCCCAGCTACCACTGCCAGCACGCTTCCTTTTCAATCAGCTCGGCGCGGCGCGGCGGGGGAAAAGGGGGGGGAGCGAAAGGTGGGGATTCATCCATTAATTACCTGCTGGCACTGCCGGGACTCGCCGCTCCCAAACAGCGTCTGTCTCGCTCGCTCTCTTTGTCGCTTTCTGTCCAAACGTCCAGCGCCGACTTCCTCGGAAACTTCCTAGGAAACTTCCGGCCCTTCTCCCTACTCCCCTGCTCCTTCTCGCTAGGGCTCTTCCGGCGAGGCCCGGGGGTCGTGGTCGGTGACATGGTTTAAGTTACTGAAAGTAAAATAAAATTCGTCCGTTCCGTTCCGTTCGAGTCCCATCTAGCGACTCTGGAGCTCAAAACGCATCCGAAATTCTGACCGCCTCCACCGGTCTTCTGGCCCACTGTGCACGTGCCTGGTACATCTGCCGGAGCAAGGCGCCTCCGCCGGCTGGAAAGTGGTGCGAAAATCTGGCGTAAATAATTCGTTCCGCTCGGCGCTGCTGTCA